GGGAAAACTGCAATATTTTAGCTGTTATTTTAGAAAATCTATGGTAAAAATAGGAATGTTATTCCAAAGTATGCAAAATTATTCTAATATCTGTATCATAAACCAACATTATCATATTTGGTGCAGAACAAATGGGTGCAGTTTGAAGGCCGCTTAAAGCAGTTAGAGGTTGATCTACATCGACACCATGAAACTGTTGGAAAATTGAAACACACCATCAAGCAGTTAATCAGTAATTCACCAGCACCATATGATTATCAGCAGCACTCAAATCACACTGTTGTTACCACTTCAGCTACCACTCCTGAGGCTGGTGCAGATGTTTCCTGTAGCATTCAGTTCAAAAGTGTTCCTAGGGCAGACATTCAAGTAAGTAATTAATCATAAAATTTTTGGTAGTTACCAAGTGGTACTGGTTCTTTGTTAATTTATTAGAAATAAAATACAGTGGTGGACTAGTACTGATAATGTGAAAGTATTTACATTAGTCATTGACTTGCAAATTGAAATACATGATAATCGCTAAAAGTTGAAAAATGTGGGTTTAAAATTTGGTGTTGTCTTTCTTATATATGTGAAATTTGAAAGATTTTGTATTATTTCTGTAGAGTTATAATCTAATAATGGTGTATGAAGCTCATTGAAAAGTTTGTGATTTGGTTTGTAATTGATTTATGGGTGCAATATCAGTCTGTATTAATGTTTACATACATGCTGATTAGGTATGCAGCAACTACATTTGTTACTTCTGATACACTACCATAGTGTTCTGTATATTTAAGCTAAGTAGAATTATTTTGCTGTCTGATGAGTTTCATGAATAACATTTAGGAGACTGAGCTTATAGAGATTATTTTTTGTGCCTGTACCTAAGAGAATTCTTGATCTTTGTGTTTCTGTTATCTGCATCAGTTTACTTTGCATCAACACTTCACATTAGTGATTTTGTCTCAGCTTATGGTTTGGTTTGTGCAGCAACATTATTCTACAGAAATATTTTGCAATTCAGTGTTTGCTCACATTATGCTTTGATGATGGGTGCCCAAAATTAATAGACAAACAGGAGCAGGTTAAATTATAATGGTTGAAAAACTCAAGCCAAATTAGTGGAGATAATCTGCAAAATTTATGACATGAAACCAGTAGAACATTTAGGAAGAAAGAAAGGTAATACCTAAAGTAAAGTAAAGCAGTCCCACTACATACCATGTAGATCTCTTGGCACTAGGTGGGGGTGAGTGGTCAGCATCACACCCTTGTTATGCTTTACCCCCAGGAATTGACACTGGTACCCATTTATAGGAGGCAGGGTGGGCCCCGGAGCTGGTCTGGATGCAGAGGCTAGAAGAAAAATCCTCTGCCCCTGTTGGGATCGAACTCCAGCCAGTAGCTACTATACTGTAGTTTCTATACTGACTGAGCTATCCTGGCTTCTAAAGGGAATACCTGAAAAACAAAATTAATGAACTTGAAACTAATTACAGAAACAAAATATTAGAACTTTATACAGAGTTATAAATGAACTTATGTAAGGTTACCAACCTAGTCATTTAAGATGACAATTTTTTATCTGCTCGCAGATCCCCACAGCATTTGGAATAGGTAGAAAAATGTCTTTAACCAGGTGTTAAATTTCCACTGGGTTTATGGTATTACACAGATAGATATACATATGACTGAGCCAGAACCTAGCCTTATCAAAGTGGAGACTGCTATTGAGAAGTTGAAAGGGTATAAATCCCTGTGTGCTCATCAGATTCTGGCCAAATTGATCGATGCAGGAAGCAAAATGTTGCATTCCAAGATACACAAACTTATTTGCTGTATATGGAATAAAGACAAAATGCCACTGTAGTGGAAGGAATCTATTGTTGTACCAGTTCATAAGAAGGGTGATGACTGATTGTAATAATTATTGAGGAATCTCCCTCTTAGCATCTGCCTACTAAATTTTTATTTTTCTGGTAAGGCTGAATGCATATTCAAATTAAATTATTGGGGATCAACAGTATGGGTTCTGTCATAACAGATCTACAACTGATCAAATTTTTTACATTTTCCAGATACTAGAGAAGAAGTGGGAGTACAATGGGACAGTCCATCCACTATTTATAGACTTCAAGAAAGCATATGTCTCAGTTAAAAGAGAAGCTCTTTACAGTATTTTATTTGAATTTGGCATATCTAAGAAGGTAGTCAGACTAATCAAAATGTGGACTGATACAGATCCTATTCAGAATGGCATGGAACAGGGAGATGATCTGTTACTGCTGCTTTTCAGTTTTTCCTTAAAATATGCCATTAGGATTTGGAATTGAATATGACACATCGCCTTTTTGTCTGTGCTGATAATAATAATCTGTTGGGTGATAATATAAATACTATAAAAGCAAACACACAAACACTCTTGAGGGCTAGTAGGGATGTTGGTTTAGAAATAAATTCAGAAAAGACAAAGTATATGATCATGTCTCCACATCAGAATTCAGGACAGAACCAGAAAATAAGGTTAGCTAATGAATTGCTCAAAAATGTAACAGAATTGAAGTACTTGGAGATGACACTAACAAGACATTCATGGTGAAATCAAGAGCAGATTAAATTCAGAGAATGCTTGCTGTCATCCAGTCAAAAATCTTTTGGCCTCATTTAAAAAAAACTGAAGATTAAAATATACAAAAGCGCAATTTTCCCATTTGTGCTGCATGGGTATGAAACTTGGTCTCTCAGTTTGAGAGAGGAACATAGATTGAGGGTCTTTGAGATCTCTCCCTCTTAGCCTCCCTTCTGTAAAATCACCAAGGTAATTGACACAGACAGTAAATGTGAGACCTTGACTGTACCCATAATATCGAAAGTTTTGCTTTCCAGTACTATGCCGTGTGGTTTTGTGTAATTTATGTAATGACTGCATTGCTTTTTGTAATAGATGCTGGATGTGTATAAGGAACTCAAGTTTGACAACATTGATGGTGGAGCTTGGAAACAGGGCTGGAATGTGGAAATCAGTGGGCAGGAATGGGACAAGCACAACAAGCTGAAAGTGTTTGTAGTTCCACACTCTCACAATGATCCAGGTATCACACATCTGTGCTCTCAATAACAGATGCTTGTTACATTAAATTCAGTCATGATCTTGGTAGTATTTGAGGTTCCCATGGTGGTGAATACAAAGATGGCAGTCTTCTGAGTTTGTTGAAATGTTGCTAAACTTCAACCAGACTAAACACTGCTAAAACCAGAAGATGGCCATGTTTGTAGTCATGATCTTGATTGTAGCATGTAAACCTATTGATAAAGGTTACTGGATCCCTGTATGGTAGTGAGTCTTATCATTTTTAACTGCAGCCTATATAATGGTTTTAGTGACACAAGTCTCAACCTTAATTGTATACTAGATAAAAATTAGATAGGTAGTTTTTTATAAGATGAAGGCCATTTTTAATTAGTGTGCATTCATAGCCATGACTGTAGAGCTTAAAAATTAAGTTGGAATCTAATAAGATAAGGAACAGACAAAAAAGAAACACAAAACCAAAAAAAGACAAAAAAACTTTTTGTGAACCGTGGCTTTGTATTTGATTCAGAAGTTCTTTTAAAGGAAAGTTTTATTGAAAATGCTGTATGTCATGCTCTGGCTGAAGCCTATTATAGAACTACTTTTTCCCCCGAATGCTCCTCAGTTCTTCCCTGTTTATGTCCATCTCTTGTGTATGTTTGTATTCAATATCTTTTTGAATTTCTACATGGCATTTACTTTGGATGGTTCTTCTCTGTACCTGGAGCAGAAGTTTCATAGCAAGTGCTCTAGATGTTGCCATTTGCATGAATTATTATCATTTTCAGCACTGATACAGCCACACTGTTAAAGCACTTTTTATAATCAGCCTTTTTTTTGCCATTTGGATAGCATTAATAAAATGAATGGCATTGAAAATCCAGAGGCACAAATTTTGGACATTGTAAATTGAATCACTGTTAATATTAGTGCTGTTAAAACTTATGTGCATTGCCAGAAGCTTATCTCACTGTGCTGTGTTCTTGGCAAGCATGCCATCCTCTTCCTGTCTTGTGTCTGCAGTTGATTGTTAAAATGTATTCATTGTCAGGACTTTTTCCATCGTCTGTTCTTTAAAACTATGATGTTTCGAAGACAGAACCAGCCTCCGAAATGTCGTGGTTTTAAAGAACAGACGATGGAAAAATTCCTGACAATGAATAATTTTAAGTGTAAACTACCATCATCAAAACCCTTTAGTGTTGCTCTGTGCATGGAGGGGAAGCATGAAAATATGGCACACATCAGGAATTTCAGAAATAAAAAGTTTTTATCTAGCAAGGTTATTTCTTTGGGCCCTTTTTTATGTTAATATTCCTTTTATTTTCTGGTGTCTGAACTCATGCTTACATTTGTGCTAGGCCTTTAAGTTATACTTTGTACTTGCCAAGTATGAAATACAGTAATGTGTTGCACATTTAACATTGCTTTGATTATGATCCATCAGGCTGGATAAAAACATTTGAAGACTATTATCACAGTCAGACACGTAACATTCTAAACAACATGGTTAACAAACTCTCTGAAGATCCACGACGCAAGTTCATCTGGGCAGAGATATCCTTCTTCTCTCTGTGGTGGGATGAGATTCCCATAGAGACAAAGGAGCAGGTGAAGAAGTGAGTAGTAGCCTGCTTTCCCTGCTCCATAAATTGTATGTATGTACAAATGTTTCATCCAGAATTATGATTAATAATAAGGGAATGGCCCATTTTAGACAGTGGGGCATAAAACATGAATAATGGTAAGAAATTATACAGTCCAGTGGTTAACAATGGACGCCTAAAATCTGATTACAGATTATAACTCTACAAATTTACACTTGAAGACAATTTCTAACTACATTCTACATATCCAAATATATATCAGCCCATCAGATTATAGAAATAATAGGTTGTCATCCAAGCCTTTTTGTTGGCGTGATATTTCACCGGAAGTTTTTTCATGTTTTTGAAACAACGCGGTTTTCGTGATTTTCCAACTACAATCGGAACCCGTTTGTCACTACCGTCACTGTTAACACACAGAAGAACAGTAATTCGGTGTTTTGCACGTATTCCCCCGTGGCAAGATTCACCTTTCAATGCCAGAGTCCTATCCGGGAGGGCGTTGTAGAAAAGTCCGGTCTCATCCGCATTATAAATGTCCCGCGGCTCATATCCCTCCAGCAGTGTTGGCAGTCTCTCGAGCCACAGCTCCGTTATTTCCACATCCACAGCAGCACTTTCGCCTTTCCTTTGTACTTGTAATAAAAGCATTTGTGAAGAAATTCACACTGCACATGCCATCTGGCATCGCTGGAACGAAATATGAGTGCACCCTAATTAAAATCGTAAAATTTCTGACAATGAGCACCGCCATTCACTCCAATATCACCCCTGCACCGCTGACCCTCATTCCAAAAGAATGTGCTGGTTGGGCGACATAACAGGTTACCGCTACTGTTTATTCCAAAAACATTGTGCGTCTTTCGGTATTAATTTATCTCAAACCCCAGCATTTTAAATTCTCAGAAACGATCATTGCGGGAAAATTGTGTGCTGGGACTAAGATTTTTTAAGGATCGATGCGATAAAACGATAGTTCGAGGAACGATAGAAGCGGGAAAATGTAACATTATTTTATATGGGATGTATTCGGGACCGAACAAAACGGACGATGCATCCGGGAAAACGATAGTTCCGGGAACGATGGATAGAGGTTTCACTGTATTAAAAAATATGGAATGTACATATAACTTTGTTACAACTCCTCAGACAATTTTACCCCTCTTCTTACAAGTTCATGTAATAATATTGTCTACTAATATGTCAGTTGTCATTGCTCCTGTAAAGCACCATAAGTTTTACAGTATGGCAGTGTTACTGCATGTGTGCACATAATTTTTATGAGATGAAGGACGACAGTGAGAAAGTATTTGTGCAGAATATAAGTGTACTAGATTCCTTATACAAGAAAATATTTAAAATTACCTTTGTATTGATTTACAGGCTTGTATCTGATGGGCAGTTGGAGATAGTAACAGGTGGTTGGGTAATGAACGATGAAGCAAATACACATTACTTCTCAATGCTGCTACAAATGATGGAGGGCCATCAGTGGTTATTGAGCCAACTTGAGTTTAAACCCAGGTATATTGATAGTAGTTCTCAGTTTTTTTATTTTATGTGGTATTTAAATTAATCCAGTGAGAGATTGATTCAAATATATATAAATATATATATATACGAGGTGCGATCGGAAAGTTTCAAGACTGTGTCAATAGAGGGCGAACCGGATGTAGTACGAGCTTCTGCCGCTAGGGGGTGCGGCCTACATTCATAATGAATCAGTGTGCCAGCCGGCATCATCGAATTAGCATTTGTTTCTTAGTTACGGGCGTTTTGGTAGTGCATTACACCGACCCTCCTGCAATTTCGGAATGGCGGATTTTCATGAACAAATCAAATTTTGCCAAAGACTCGCCAAAACAGCTACGGAAACCTATGAAATGCTAAAGCAAGCATTTGGGGAGTCCGCAATGGGTCGTGCACAAACTTTTGTGTGGCATTCACGTTTTAAAAATGGCTGAACCTCTGTCGATGATGACGAGCGTTCTGGACGACCATCTTCGAGCACAACGCCCGAAAATGTTACGAAGATTCGGCAGGCCATTCACGAAGATCGACGTCGTACCATCAACGACTTGTGCGACATTGTTGGGATAGGCTATGGGACCTGTCAGATGATTCTAAAGGAAGAACTCCACATGCGACGCATCATGACAACGCGTCAGCGCACACCGCCCTCAAAGTTCGGCAGTTTTTGGCCTCAAACACCATGGCCGTCATCCTGCACCCTCCTTATTCGCCGGATTTAGCTCCGTGTGACTTCTTCCTCTTCCCAAAGATGAAAATTCAGCTAAAGGGAAGGAGATTTGAGACGATAGAAGCGATTCAGGCAGAATCACAGATGGTGCTTGACAGGCTGACAAAGAAAGATTTCCAGGGATGCTTCCAGGCTTGGCAGCGGCGCTGGGATCGTTGTTTTCACTCCCAGGGGAACTACTTCGAGGGTGATGGATGAATTTAATACCTGAGATAAGTGTACAGGTTTTTATAGGCGCAGTCTGGAAACTCTCTGATCGCACCTCATACATCCATTTATAAAGGCTGTGTAGTAGTACTTCACCAACAGGGGGGTTGTGTTCCTAACACACAGGCTGTGCACTTGAAATATATACTGCACATTGCTCATGAATGGAAGGGCATAGGATTGAAAACTAAATGCATTTGAGTAGGTTAAAATAAAAAGTGTTTATGACCTAATTTTTGTAATTGAAACATTCTAGAAGTGTTTGTTTGTTCATGAATTTGTTTTAATATCGGGTGAGTGGCTGTTACATCTTATTTTAAATTCTGAAAAAAATCTGACATTTGTTTAATTTTTTAATATTCTGCAGAAAAGTGTGTGAAATAGCTAATGCCGATGCGGTTTCTTGGTTACCATTACAAACTTCATGCCCCGAAGAAAGTCCAGTATATGATAGGGCCTTCTGTAAAGAAGCACCTGTATTCCTGTCAGTTTAAGAGTATGCAAACTTAGCTGAAGAACTACAGGAAATTAAGGGATGCATTAAGTCAGTCTGGCCTCTAAGTTGAAAGTGATGCAGCTGTGTTCAATATTATGTGGTATGTAATGAGTTGATAGTTGGTTGTGTGTTAAAAGACTACCAAACTGTTATTCTGCATACTATGGGAGCAGAGGCATAGGATCTATTGTGCCAAGGTCATGCAGGAATAGTTCATACCAAGTTTGCTAGCCTGGTTTTATGTTTAGTGGCCAGGCAGTGGTAACAGTATAGTTTGTCTGATCAGAGAGTGTGTACGATGCCAGTCACTGTCTAATGATAGCAGATGTAAGGAATTGAGACAACAAAAAACCTTGACAGAGAATACAGATAGACTTTATGGAATCCCAAGGACATAAGATTTTTATCTTTGTAGACACTTATTAATAACTGAAGTATGGGTAATGTCAAGGTAAGGTTCTGCAGTAGTGAATGTGTGGTTAAATAATCTTATAGGAACATTTGGGACCCCAAATATAGTTCTGTGAGACAGTAGTTCACCCTTTAATTTGGCTCAGTTAGTTACCTGGTATATGTCCAATGATTTACAGCTTTTGTACTCACTAGCTTGTTATCCAGAGAGCAGTAGGTGGCTGATAGGACTGTGCAGATATTTAAAGGCTCATTACATAAAGTGACAAAATTTGCAGGTACTGCATGTAAAAGACCTTATTTAAGACTTAATATAGATTTATTTCCACATTAGTAACTTAATTTTCCCATCTGAAGTAATTTTAAAATATTCCCCCTTCATTAAACTGTTGATACTATTACTGGGGGATGGAGTCACGAGAATGGCATTAATTGGACCCTTAAAAAGTTTTGAGATGGGGAATACATGGCTGGTATCATAAGAAGGCAAGGGTCAAGTGCCTGCTGGGTATAAATGTAAAGTACTTAGTGCACTTGGACATATCTGAGTGGGTGGTCTACACTAAGTGAGGAAGAGATTTCTGGTCCATCTTATGCATATACTGGAATGGGTACATCTGGCATTTCTCCCAGTCCTCTTTACACAAAGCAGTCTGACCAGTTTCATAGTCTTCAATCAGATCCATCATTGTACTCATCTTCATCAAGGTTTGGCAAGTTATATTAGGGCAGTAACCAGGAGGGTGCCACTCTGTAGCTATGAGACAAGGTCAGAAGAAAGTGGGCTCTCCAGTATGGCTAATCAAGGAGTGCTAAGTCCATGTGGATCACCTGAATAGGCCATTAAGAAGCATAGTCAAAAGATGACAACCAAGGAATTTTAAGTTTATAATGTTTTTATTGGTTATCTAATGGTTAATCATTTCTTATCTTTAGTAGTTTTGATTATATATTGTAAAGTAATAAACTGTATCATTCTAGTCAGGGTTTAAGAAAAAGTCATTAATTTAATGTGTTTCATAATAACTGTACAGTTTGTGTTCATATATAATGATAGAAATACAATATATGACATTCTGTATAAAATGGACTATTTTTATAAACAGAAGAAAATGGTAATATAAAACTGCATGTAAGTGCAAGTGCTATGTACCAAACATAGTTCATGCACATAGTGTACAAATCTGGCTAAAGTAGGTCTGTAAAGGGTGATTGGCTCAAGGCAGACATGGGGCATGCTGGCACTGAGGGTCTCACAGCGTAGACATAACAGTGACTCATAAGGAGTAGATATAATAATATATTATATAATATATTGCATAGTGTGGAATGCTGTCTCTAACAGTTATAGTTTCCTGATTCTTAATCTGCAAAATTAATTGAAGGTCATCACCTACTGGCAAAGTTGTGAGTTTGGATTATAAACTAATATGTTAGCTGTAAGATGAAGTTTGGCCAGAAACCAGTAAAGAAGTAGAAATTTATTCCACTAACTCACATTTGATTCACATTATCAAAGAAAGAGAAAAATTGAATTCTTTTGCTTTAAACCCCCCACCCCATACTCCCGTGGCTTGCGTGAATTTGGTACAGTACTTGAAATGAATTCAGTCTCTTTGTTTTACTACTTTTAAAAGTCTGTCACTGTGTGACATTTTAGTCCTGTTTAAGGTGTATAGTTGCTCTTTATTTAACATTATCTGATAGAGGAAATAAATTGACCTGTTTGATGGACATGAATTTCAAATTCATTGTTATGAAATTTAAAACTTTCAGTCCTGATGACTGTGTTTTTTGTTGTAGTCTGCAAAACAGTTGTGGTTATTCATTGCAGAAATAGTTGGTCCATAGATCCATTTGGACAGTCACCCACAATGGCATATCTGTTAAAGAGAATGGGCCTTGAGAATCTGCTTATTCAGCGAGTCCACTATTCTGTGAAGAAGTACCTTGCACACAACAAGAACCTTGAATTCCGATGGAGACAGCTGTGGGGTAAGATGATTCAAATTGAAATATCTGTGTTCTAATAGGACACTGATTATGTGTATATGAATTGCATAACTGACCAAGTTCTCAGTAATGGCATTAGATGGCAGAATGTTCTGTTTTGTGAATGCATTTTTAGAAGTATTTCTAAAGTATATAAAGGTACAAAATGCATTAAAAGCAAGGAAGGATGGGTATGAGGAATGAATATATGAATACAATTTTTCCCTATTTAATTTCCCTGCCTCTTTTCCACATAACACCCTTACGTGAAATTTTCTGTACAGCTGTGGGATGAATGAAAAGTCATGTGACCCAATGCTGGTAAGTTGTAATTGTATTAAAAAGTTATGATGATGTTGTTACAGTTTTGTTTGTTTACATTTTAACAGTTCAGCCTTATGCAAAACACTGTGGACTGAATTGAATAAACAGGAGCATTACAATGTTTGTTCTTTGTCTACTTCCTGTTTAAGGTGGTTATCTCAGTAAGAATAGAATGGGAGGGCCATATCCACAAATTGTGGAAATAACAAGTATATATGAGTACAAAGTTTTGGTGAAGAAGACCTAAGAGGCGGGAGCACTTGGGAGACCTAGATATAAATAAGAGGATAATATTAAAGTGGATGAAGGTATTACATGAATTCATCTGGATAAATAGGGTCCATTACTAGGCTTCCATGACCACTCTGATGAACATTCATTTCCATAAAAGCAGGAAATTTCTTGATGAGGACACTACACTACAGAGTTAAAAGATTTACTGTGGTTTTTAGAGCCTCATCTGGTAAAAAGTGCCAGCAATCCTACTTCCTATGAATATTAACTCTTTGATTAGAACTTAGTAGTACTTTGTTAGAGAATATGAACTGTTGACTGTATTCCAGATGGTAATGGTTCTACGGATCTCTTTACACACATGATGCCATTCTACAGTTATGATATACCACATACATGTGGGCCAGACCCCAAAATTTGCTGTCAGTTTGACTTCCGACGGTTACCAGGTTTTGGCATCTCATGTCCATGGAAAGTTCCACCACAGGTCATCAAAGAACAGAATGTGGCTCACAGGTAAGCTAAATTGTTGCATTAAGTATGGCATTTTATAAACCATGCCATAAACATGTTTTTCTGTATATCACATGCATTCATATTTAAAAGTTCACAAGGGCCTCATGTTTTGAGTGACTTTTTCATGGTGTTTGTAATTCCTATTGACATTTCTGAGGATACCATGCATATAATTTTAGATGGTTGTTTGGGTTTTAGCACCATCTGGTAGCATTCAGCTGCATAGATATTCTTGGAAATACTATCATGGAGTTGAAAACAAAGTACTGGAAAAAAAATTACAACAAAGGAGAAAAATATGACATGTCCATTTTTCAAAGACTACTTTGTTAGATATGTAAGTTCAGAATTAAATTTCAATTCCTCCTTTGGTAGAAACAAAATGTAGAAGCATCTATTTGATATCTGGAACATGGTGCAGCTAATCATCATGCTATTGATTGCATGTGTCAATATAAAAAAAGCAGAAATATGAAATGCATCAGGACTTATGTTACAATTCTGGGCTGTGGGACATGATTATGTAAAACATAATATTATGATTCCTGTTATGAGTGTGTTAAACACATTTGTGTTACATTGTGTGTTTTGTGTATACTAAAATTAAAATTGTCAAAGTAATGTAAAAAATTGTGTTTGTAGGTATAGAAAACAATTATATGTTTAGTTATCATTGTTTTTGTTATTATTTATTTTAACATTCAGTATTTGTGCATCCAGACAATCTATTGTGACTAAAATATTGCTGAATGTAGTTGGATGCAGTGCAGACATAGCTTATACAGAATGTTTGCTTAAAGGTTTTTCTCTGTGCTACATTTTTGTACTGAAAGACAGTAAAGTTTAATTGGCTTAAATTCTGTTGTTTTTATTATAAATTTGTTTACATATGACAGATCAGTTTACCTTTATTATAATTATACTGAATAAATACTGTTATTCCCATGTTATGCAAAATTTATTTCCCCTTGCATACTGTCAGATTTTATGCATATTGAAATCCCACACTACTGTTTACGGCATCCAGACTTGTCCTCTTTAAAATCAGGTAGTTTTATCAGTTACAAACATGATAGACATGCATCCAGAGCTGAGGTTATGTGCTGTGAGACATGTTTTCCTGCACATAATGAGGCTACTTTAATCACTTGATCTGTAGTTTCCATTGTCTTTACTATTGACTATTTTTACATGGCTCTTATAACAAGAAATTTATGGACTTTTGACAACTTTTCACTCAAACTCCCCTGAACACTATTATTTATGTTGATCTTAAAAAGTGCAATTAATTTCTTTCAGAGCTGGGATGCTGCTAGAACAGTATCGCAAGAAAGCACAGCTATACCGAACTAATGTCATTCTTGCACCACTTGGTGATGACTTCCGATATGACCATGCATCAGAATGGGATGCTCAGTACAATAACTACCAAAAGATATTTGATTACTGGAACAGCAAGCCTCATCTGTACGTTGAGGTATGTGAGTGCTTTACTTGTTATGTTGCTGTACAGGTAAACCTCGATTTGCGCCGATTCGGAATAACCGCTTTTAAAACCAGCAAGTCAGAAAATGAAAAAATATATTTTACTATTATTTATAACGTTTTACAATGTTACTCATATTGATTCTTATACTAAATGGTAATTCTTACATCGCTGATTTTGAATAAAAATTATAAATACATGCACTCATTGCTAAGTAGTTGTGAGATAATCTCCTAAAAATCCTCCAACATTGCACAAGTCACATGAGCGTTAGTCACTCTTCAGGGTGGGTCATTTGCGTTCAGCCTGATACGGGAGTAAGGAAATATGCGCTCAGTTTGCTTCTTGTTGACACAATGAATATGATGAAAACTGTGTGCTAAACGTGTTTGTGTTGTTGTTCGACCACTATTCTGCAGTAGCAACTGTTTTATATTTATAAATTGTAGAAGAGCCACCATGTCTGGTAAAAGAAGTGAATGTGTTGCTAAAAAGTTGCGTAGGTCTATTGCGTTAGAAGATAAGATGGACGTAATGTGTAGAATAGAAGGTGGTGATACCCGTCGTAATGTGTGCAGAAGTATGAAGTTGCCTCCTTCCACTGTGACTACTATAATGAAAAATTCATATAAAATAAAACAGTCAATGCAACAGGCTACGAGAGTAAGTGCAATGCAAGTGAGTTATAACAGAAGTAAATTTTTAGAAAGAATGGAGAAATTACTGTCGCTATGGGTGGATGACATGAATCGAAAAAACATTCCCTTGACTGAAATTGCTATCACGGATAAGGCGAAGTTAATTTTTGAGGAACTTAAGTCGTCAATATTTGGGTGCCGGAAACGCATGTCATTGACTTCCCATTGATTTACATTATAAAAAGAGTTTCAATTTACGCCAGTTCGTCCAGGAATGCATCCCCAGCGTAAATCGAGGTTTATCTGTATGTGGCTTTGTATTGTTTGCATAAGGGGGATTTTGTGGGATAACACTGCATTGTTGTAACAGAAGTGAGGATTTGAGAACAGTATTCTAACAACAGTACTTCAACCTGAGAGAGAAGAAGCAACAAAAACATGAAGAAAATTGCATGATGAGGAATGTCATAATAGACTCTCATCTCCGAAATGTCATAGTTTTTATTGATTTTATATAATCTTGGATGATGGATAATGTCCAGAAAACAATTTTCTGTAAAAAAAAGTGTTTATTGGGATGACAGAATTTCTGGCTGAAAGTTGGCAGGGTGGTTGAACACAAGAACAACAAACATTTCTAAAAATTGCAAAAAGTACATAAAAGTTTACTTGGTGTGGCACAATATCTGCATAGCTACTGAGACAAGTGGGCAGATGCAGGTTGTTATGTATTACTCCCCACATGCATAAGAGTGACTGTGAAAGAGCAGGAGACTTGTGCTGTGATACACGAATAGTACCACTATAATTTCTACACAAATAAGCAAAACTCAGTGTGAAAATCCATGGATGAGATGGGTCTGCTGTATTACCAGATAGAAACAAATTGAGTATTTATGCAGTGATAATTCTGTGGTTTTGTGAGAGCAGTTGACACCAATTTCCAATACTGGTGTTCAAGGTCAGCAGAAAGTGGAGAAAAAACATGGGCAGTAGCCAAATCAGATTTGGTGGGCTTGAGAACAGATAGAATCATGACAGGAATCTCAGAATAAGAGATTGTTTGGTGTTAGCTGATTTGGGTAGAACACATCTTTTTGCTTCCTGATATGAGAAGTGTTATATTGTACACAGTGTCAACACAAGGAATCAAAATCAGCTTCATACGAGGCGCGTCCCAAAAGTAAGTTTCCCTGGGGCCGTTTACAGAAACAAAACACAATTTCATGGAAATATTTATTGCAACAGATACAGCAAGT